TAATACAATCCTAAAGCCTGGGAAAAGGAGACCTCAAGTGGAGCAAGTTAGAAAAAAAAAAAAAGATGATTGTGATGAAAAGACAGAGAAATATAATACAAATGAAAGAGCAAAGCAGAAACTCACAAGACCAAATAGATGAAGAGGAAATAAGTAATTTCTCTGAAAGAGAATTCAGAGTAATGATAGTAAAGATGCTCCAAAGACTTGAAAATAGAATGGAGAAAATACAAGAAGAATGTAACACAGTTAATACAATCACCAAGGACATAGAAGAAATAAGGAATAAGCAAACAGAGCTGAATAACACAATTACTGAAATTAAAAATACTCTGGAAGGAACCAATAGCATAATAACTGAGGCAGAGGAATGGATAAGTGAGCTGGAAGATACAATAGTGGAAATAACTGCTGAAGAGCAGGATAAAGGGAAAGGAATGAATAGAATTGAGGAAAGCCTCAGAGACCTCAGGAACAACATTAAATGTACCAATATTCGAGTTATTTGAGTCCCAGAGGAAGAAGAAAAAAAGAAAGGCACTGAGAAAGTTTTTGAAGAAATTATAGTTGAAAACTGTTCCAGCAAGGGAAAGGAAATAGTCAAGTCCAAGAAGCACAGACAGCCCTATGGGTTAAACCCAAGAAGAAACACATTGAGACACATATTAATCAAGATAACAGAGATTAAGTACAAAGAAAGAATATTAAAAGCAGCAAGGGAAAAGCCACAAGTAACATACAAGAGAAAACCCATACAATTAACAGCAGATCCTTCAGCAGAAACTCTACAGGCCAGCAGAGTGGCAGGATATATTTAAAGTACTGAAAGAGAAAAACCTACAACCATGATTACTATATCTGGCAAAAATCTCATTCAAAATTGATGGAGAAATAAAAACTTTTATGTACAAGCATAAATTAAGAAAATTCAGTATCAACAAACCAGCCTTGTGACAAATACTAAAGGGACTAACATTGCCAGTAAACACAAGAGAAAGGAAAGACCTACAAAAACAAACCCAAAACAATCAAGAAAATGCCAATAGTAACATACATTCAATAATTACCTTAAATGTAAATGGATTAAATGCACCAACCAAAAGATACAGACTGACTGAATGGATACAGAAACAAGACCCATATATATGATGCTTACAGGAAACCCACTTCAGACTGAAAGACACATACAGACTGAAAGTAAAAGGATGGAAAAGATAATCCATGTGAATGGAAACCAAATAAAGCTGGAGTGGCAATCTTTATTTCAGGCAAAATAAAGTTTAAAATAAAGAATATCATAAGAGAGAAAGAAGTACACTACATAATGATCAAGGAATCAATCCAAGAAGACATAACAATTGTAAATGTCTATACACCCAACATAGGAGCACATCATTATATAAGACAAACACTAACAGGCATAAGAGGAGAAATCAACAGCAACATAATAATAGTAGGGGACTTTAACACCCCACTGTCTTCAATGGACAGATCACCAAAACAGAGAATTGATAAGGAAATACAAATGTTAAATGAAACATTAGACCAAATCGACCTAATTGGTATTTTCAGGACTTTCCATCCAAATGCAGAAGAATACAATTTCTTCTCAAGTGCACATGTAATATTTTCCAGTATAGACCACATTTTGGGCACAAATTGGGCTCAGTAAATTTAAGAAAACTGAAATGGTATCAATTATCATCTCTGACCACAATGCTGTGGGGCTAGATATCAACTACAGGAAAGAAAACAGCAAAAAAAACCCACGAACTCATGGAGGTTAAACAATACATTACTCAATAACAAAGAGGTTACTGAAGAAATAAAACAAGAGATCAAAAGATTCCTAGAAACAAATGACAATGAAAACACGATAACCCAAAACCTACGGGACTCGGTAAAAGCAGTTCTAAGTGGGTTGTTTATAGCAATACAGTCATACCTCAAGAAGCAAGAAAAGCATTGAATAGACAGCCAAACTCTAAATCTAAAGCAGCTGGTAAAAGAAGAACAAAAAGCCCCCAAAGTCAACAGAAAGAAGGAGATCATAAAAATTGGAGCAGAAATAAGTGAAAAAGAAATGAAGGAAACAATAGCAAAGAGTAATAAAAACTGAAAGCTGGTTCTTTGAGATTAACAAAATTGGCAAACCACTAGCCAGACTCATCAAGAAAAAAGGGAGAAAAATCAAATCAATGAAATTAGAAATGAAAAAGGAGAGGTTACAACAGACAACACAGAAATACAATGGATCATAAGAGAATGTTATGAGCAACTATATGCTGAGAAAATGGACAACCAAGAGGAAATGGACAGATACTTAGAAAAGATCAGCCTCTCAAAACTGAACCAGGAAGAAATAGAAATTATGAACAACCCAATTACAAACACTGAAATTGAAACAGTGATCAAAAATCTCCCCAGGGCCAGATGGCTTCACAGGTGAATTCTATCAAACATTCAGAAAAAAGCTAATGCCTATTTTTCTGAAACTTTTCCAAAAACTTGCAGAGGAAGGAACACTTCCAAACTAATTCTACAAGACCACAATCATCCTGATACCAAAACCAGGAAAAGACAACATGAAAAAAGAAAATTACAGGCAAAATTACTGATGAACATAGATACAAAATTCTTCAACAAAATTCTAGCAAACGGGATCCAACAACACATTAAAAAGCTCATACATCATGATCAAGTTGGGCTTATTCCAGGATGCAAGGATTCTTCAATATGTGCAAATCAATCAATGTGCTATACCATATCAACAAATTGAAAGATAAAAACCACATGATCATCTCAACAGATGCAGAAAAAGCCTTTGACAGAACCCAGCATCCATTTATGATAAAAATGCTTCAAAAAATGGGCATAAAAGGAACCTATCTCAACATAGTAAAGGCCATTATATAAAAACCCACAGGAAACATTATTCTCAATGGTGAAAAGCCAAAAGTTTTTCCCTCTAAGATCAGGAACAAGACAAGTGTCCACTCTCACCACTATTATTCAACATAGTTTTGGAAGTCCTAGCTACAGCTATTAGAGAAGAAAAAGAAATAAAAGGAATCCAGATCAGAAAAGAAGAAGGAAAACTCTCACTGTTTGCAGATGACATGATACTATATATAGAAAACCCAAAAGAAACTATCAGAAAATTACTAGAGCTAATCAGTGAATTCAGCAAAGTCGCAGGTCAATGCACAGAAATCACTTGCACTCCTATATACTAACAATGAAAAACCAGCAAGAGAAATTAAGGAATCAATCCCATTCACCATTGCAAGAAAAAGAATAAAATATCTAGGAATAAACTTACCTAAGGGGAAAAAAAAGACATGTATACAGAAAAGTATAAGACACTGATGAAAGTCAGAGATGACATAAACAGATGGAAAGATATTTCATGTTCCTGGGTGGGAAGAATCAAAACTGTCAAAATGACTATATTATCAAATGCAATCTACAGATTCAATACAATCCCTATCAAATTACCAATGGCTTTTTTTTTTTCACAGAACTACAACAAAAAATTTCACATTTCATATGGAAACATAAAAGACTCCAAAGAGTCAAAGCAATCTTGAGAAAGAAGAATGGAGCTGGGGAAATCAACCTTCCTGACTTCAGACTATACTACAAAGCTACAGTCATCAAGGAGTATGGTACTGGTGCAAAAACAGAAATATAGAAAAATGCAACAAGATAGAGAACCTAGAGATAAACCCACACACCTATGGGTACCTTATTTTTGACAAAGGAAGCAAGAATATACAACGGGGCAAAGACAGCCTCTTCAATAACAGGTGCTGGGAAAACTGGACAACTACATACAAAAGAATGATCACTACCTAATGCCATACACAAAGATAAACTCAAAATGGATTAAAGACCTAAATATAAGACCAGAAACTATTAAACTCTTGGAGGAGAACATAGGCAGAACACTTGATGACATAAATCAAAGCAAGAACTCCCATGACCCACCTCCTAGAGTAATGGAAATAAAAACAAAAATAAACAAGTGGGACCTAATTAAACTCAAAAGTTTTTTGCACAGCAAAAGGAAACTACAAACATGGTGAAAAGACAACCATTCGAATGGGAGAAAATAATAGAAAGGGAAACAACTGATAAAGAATGAATCTCCAAAATATACAAGCAGCTTATACAACTCAATACCAAAAAAGCAAACAACCCAATCCAAAACTGGGGAAAGGGACCTGAAGATACATTTCTCCAAAGGAGACATATGGATGTCTAACAAGTACATGAAAAGAAGCTCAACATCACTAGTTATCAGAGAAATGCAAATCAAAACTACACGAAATACACCTCACACCAGTCAGAATGGCCATCATTAAAAAGTCTACAAACACCTTTTCCTGTTGGAGCTGCAGGGTTGAGAGGAGCATGGCCTTCTCCTCTCCCCGCCATGGTGTGTGCTCGTCCACAGATATGAGTGTACTCTGAAAGGGGGGAGTCCTCTGGCAAAAATGCCACTTTGCCTGCTGTGTTCAAGGCTCCCATTCGACCAGATATTGTTAACTTGTTCACACCAACTTGTGCAAAAACAACAGACAGCCCTATGCTGTCAGTGAATTAGCAGGTCATCAAACCAGTGCTGAGTCTTGGGGTACCGGCAGAGCTGTGGCTCGAATTCCCAGGGTTTGAGGTGGCGGGACTCACCGTTCTGGCCAGGGTGCTTTTGGAAATATGTGTCGTGGGGGCCGCATGTTTGCACCAACCAAGACCTGGCGAAGTTGGCACCGCAGAGTGAATACACGCAGAAGCGTTATGCCATCTGCTCTGCACTGGCTGCCTCAGCCTTACCAGCAGTGGTCATGTCTAAAGGTCATCGTATAGAGGAAGTTCCTGAACTTCCTTTGGTGGTTGAAGATAAAGTTGAAGGCTACAAGAAGACCAAGGAGGCTGTTTTGCTTCTGAAGAAACTTAAGGCCTGGAATGATATCAAAAAGGTTTACGCCTCTCAGCGAATGAGAGCTGGCAAAGGCAAAATGAGAAACCCTCGCCGTATCCAGCGCAGGGGACCCTGCATCATCTATAATGAAGACAATGGTATCATCAAGGCCTTCAGAAACATCCCTGGAATTACTCTGCTTAATGTAAGCAAGCTGAACATTTTGAAACTTGCTCCTGGTGGTCATGTGGGACGTTTCTGCATTTGGACTGAAAGTGCTTTCCGAAAGTCAGATGAGCTCTATGGCACTTGGCGTGAAGCAGCCTCCCTCAAGAGTAACTGCAACCTCCCCATGCACAAGATGCTCAATACAGACCTTAGCAGAATCTTGAGAAGCCCAGAAATTCAAAGAGCACTCCGAGCACCACGCAAGAAGATTCATCGCAGTGTCCTGAAGAAGAATCCACTGAAAACCCTGAGAATCATGTTGAAGCTTAACCCATACGCAAAGACCATGCACTGGAACACCATTCTTCAACAGGCCAAGAACCACAAAATCCACATGGATAAAGCAGCAGCAGCACTAGAAGCCAAATCAGATCAGAAGGGGGTTGAGGGCAAGAAGCCTGTGGTGGGAAACAAAGAAAAGAAGGCTGTTGGTGACAAGAAGCTGAAGAAGCCTGCAGTGGGGAAAAAGGCTGCAGCGACCAAGAAACCAGCAGCTGAAAAGGAACCCACAGAAAAGAAACCCACCTCAGAGGAAAAGAAGGCTGCTGCATAAACTTAAATTTGTGTATTCCATAAATGCCAAATCATTTTGGACAGCTAATTTTGAATAAAGATCTGAACAAAGAGGCAATGAGAAACATGAAAAAAAAATACAAACAATAAATGCTGGAGAGGGTGTGGAGAAAAGGGAACACTCTTACATTGTTGGTGGGAATGTCAGCTGATGCAGCCACTATGGGAGAGGGTATGGAGACTTTTTAAAAAGCTAGGAATAAAGGCACCATATGAGTCAGCAATCCCATTGTTAGGCATATTCCCTGAGGAAATCAAAACTGAAAAAGTCACATGTACCCCAATGTTCACTGCAGCTTTATTTACAATAGCTAGAACAGGGAAGCAACCTAGATGTCCACCGATTGATGAATGGATGAGGAAGCTGTGGTACATATATACAATGGAATACTACTCAACCATAAAAAGGAATGTATTTGAATCTGCTCTAATGAGGTGGACAAAATTAGAGCCCATTATACAAAGTGAAGTAAGTCAGAAAGAGAAATATAAATATCATATACTGACACATACATATGGAATCTGAAGAGATGGAACTGATTAATTTATTTTCAGGGTGGCAATGGAGAAACAGACATAGAGAACAGATCTATGGACAAGTTAGAAGGAGAGAAGGGAGAAGGCGAGATGTACAGAGAGTAGCATATAAATTTACAATACCATGTGTAAAACACATAGCCAATGGGAATTTTCTGTATGACTCAGGGAACTCAAACAGGGGCTCTGTGACAGGCTGAAGGGTGGGGTGGGAAGGGAGATGGGAGGGAGGTCTGGGAGGGAGGGGACATAGGTATACCTATGGCTAATTCTTGTTGATATATGATAGATAACCACAAAATTCTGAAAAGCAATTATCCTTTGATTAAAAAATTTAAAAAAAATCAAACCCCAAACAATTAAGAAAATGGCAATAGGAACATATATATCAATAATTACTTTAAATATAAACAAATTAAATGCTCCAACCAAAAGGCACAGACTGGCTGAATGGATACAAAAACAAGACCTATGTACATATTCTGTCTACAAGAAACCCATTACAGACCTAAAGACACATATATACTGAAAGTGAGAGGATGGAAATTATACTCCATGCAAATGGAAAGCAAAAGAAAGCTGGAGTAGCAACCCTCATATCAGACAAAATAGACCTTAAAATAAAGAAGATTACAAGAGATAAGAAAGGACACTACATAATGATCAAGGGATTGATCCAAGAGGAAGACATAACAACTGTAAATATCTATGCACCCAACATAGGAGCACCTCAATACATAAGACAAACACTAACAGAGATAAAGGGAGAAATTGACAGTAACACAATAATAGTAGGAGACTTTATCACCCCACTCACACCAATGGACAGATCATCAAAATAGAAAATTATTAAGGAAACACAAGTCTTAAATGATACATTAGATGAGGTGGATCTCATTGACATCTTCAAGACATTCCATCCAAATGCAGAATACACCTTCTTCTCAAGTGCGTATGAAACATTCTCCAGGATAGACTACATCTTGGATCACAAAGCAAACCTCTGTAAAGTTAAGAAAATTGAAATCATATCAAGCATCTTCTCTGACCACAACGCTATGAGACTAGATATCAATTACAAGAAAAAAACTGTAAGAAACAAAAACACATGGAAATTAAATAATATGTTTCTAAATAACCAACAGGTTACTGAAGAAATCAAAAGGGAAATAAAAAAATTTCTAGACTCAAATGACAATGAAAACACAACTCAAAACCTATGGTATGCAACAAAAGCAGTTCTAAGAGGGAAGTTTATAGCAATACAATCCTATCTCAAGAAACAAGAAAAACATTGAATAGACAACCTAACTTTACACCTAAAACAACTGGAAAAAGAAGAACAAACCCCACCACCACCACCACCAAATTAGCAGAAGGAAAGAAATCATAAAGACCAGAACAGAAGTTAAGTGAAAAAGAAATGAAAGAAACAATAGTAAAGATTAATAAAACTTAAAGCTAGTTCTTTGAAAAGATAAACAAAATTGACAAACATTTAGCCAGACTCATCAAGAAAAAAATAGAGAAGAATCAAATCAACAAAATTAGAAATGAAAAAGGAGAGGTTGCAACAGAGAATGCAGAAATACAAAGGATTATAAGAGACTACAATGAACAACTATATGGCAATAAAATAGATAACCTGGAAGAAATAGACAGATTCTTAGAAAAGTTCAATCTTCCAAGACTGAATCAGGAATAAATAGAAATTATGAACAACCCAATTACAAGCACTGAAATTGAAGCTGTGATTAAAAAAAAAATCTCCCAAAAAACAAAAGCCCAGGACCAGATGGCTTCACAGGAAAATTCTATCAAACATTTATAGATGAGCTAATGCCTATCTTTCTAAAACTCTTTCAAAAAATTGTAGAGGAAGAAGCACTTACAAATTCATTCTACAAGGCCATCATCACCCTGACACCAAGACCAGACAAAGACAGCACAAAAACAAAAATTACTGGCCAATATCACTGATGCAAAAATCATCAGCAAAATGTTAGTGAACAGAAATTAACAACACATTAAAAATCTCATACACCATGATCAAGTTGGGTTTATTCCAGGGATGCAAGCCTTCTTCAATATACACAAATCAAAAACTGTACAGCTATATGTAAAAGAGTGAAATTAGAACACTTCCTAACACCATACACAAAGATAAACTAAAAATGGATTTGAGACCTAAATGTAAGACCAGAAACTATAAAACTCTTAGAGGAAAACATAGTAAGAACCCTCGATGATATAAATCAAAACAAGATCCTCTATGACCCACCTCCTAGAGTAATGGAAATGAAAACAGAAGTAAGCAAGCAGGACCTGATTAAACTTAAAAGCTTTTGCACAGCAAAGGAAACTATAAGCAAAGTAAAAAGACAACTCTCAGAATGGGAGAAAATAATAGCAAATGAAACAACTGACAAAGGATTAATTTCCAAAATATACAAGCAGCTCATACAACTCAATACCAGAAAAACAATCCAATCAAAAAGTGGGGGAAAGACCTAAACAGACATTTCTCCAAAGAACACACACAGATGTCTAACAAATAGATGAAAGGATGCTCAACAATGCTCATTATTAGAGAAATGCAAATCAAAACTAGAATGAGATATCACTTCACACCAAGTCAGAATGGCCATCATCAAAAAGTCTACAAACAATAAATGCTGGAGAAACTGTGGAGAAAAGGGAATGCTCATGCACTGTTGTTGGGAATGTAAATTGATACAGCCACTATGGAAGATTGTATGGAGATCCCTTTAGAAACTAGGAATAAAACCACCATATGACCCAGCAATCCCACTCATAGGCATATAACCTGAGGAAACCAAAATTTATTTATTAATTTTTTTTTACAATATGTTTATTTATTTATTTTTTTTCCATTGTTGAAAATAGTTCTTTTTTTTTTTTTTTTACATGTATTCCCCATCCCAGTCCCCCCTCCCACCTCCCTCTCCACCCAATCCCTCTGGGTCTTCCCAGTGCACCAGGCCCGAGCACTTGTCTCATGCACCCAACCTGGGCTGGTGAACTGTTTCACCCTAGATAATATACGTGTTTCAATGCTGTTCTCTTGAAACATCCCACCCTCGCCTTCTCCCAGAGTCCACAAGTCTGTTCTATACATAGGAGTCTCTTTTTCTGTTTTGCACATAGGGTTATCGTTACCATCTTTCTAAACTCCATATATATGTGTTAGTATACTGTAATGGTCTTTATCTTTCTGGCTTACTTCGCTCTGTATAATGGGCTCCAGTTTCATCCATCTCATTAGAACTGATTCAAATGAATTCTTTTTAATGGCTGAGTAATATTCCATGGTATATATGTACCACAGCTTCCCTGAGGAAACCAAAATTTAAAAAGATCCCATTGTTAGTGATTGTTAGTGATGCCTTAGAAAGCATCACTATGAACAAAGCTAGTGGATGTGATGGAATTCCAGTTGAGCTATTTCAAATCCTGAAAGATGATGCTGTGAAAGTGCTGCACTCAATATGCCAGCAAAGTTGGAAAACTCAGCAGTGGCCACAGGACTGGAAAAGGTCCATTTTCATTCCAAGCCCTAAGAAAGGCAATCTCAAAGAATGCTCAAACTACCGCACAATTGCACTCATCTCACATGCTAGTAAAGTAATGCTAAAAATTCTCCAAGCCAGGCTTGAGCAATACACGAACTGAGAACTTCCAGATGTTCAAGCTGGTTTTAGAAAAGGCAGAGGAACCAGAGATCAAATTGCCAATATCCGCTGGATCATCAAAAAAGCAAGAGAGTTCCAGGAAAACATCTATTTCTGCTTTATTGACTATGCCAAAGGCTTCGACTGTGTGGATCACAATAAACTGTGGAAAATTCTGAAAGAGATGGGAATACCAGACCACCTGACCTGCCTCTTGAGAAATCTGTATGCAGGTCAGGAAGCAACAGTTAGAACTGGACATGGAACAATGGACTGGTTCCAAATAGGAAAAGGAGTATGTCAAGGCTGTATATTGTCACCCTGCTTATTTAACTTATATGCAGAGGAAATCATGAGAAATGCTGGGCTGGAAGAAGCACAAGCTGGAATCAAGATTGCCGGGAGAAATATCAATATCCTCAGATATACAGATGACACCACCCTTATGGCAGAAAGTGAAGAAGAACTAAAAAGCCTCTTGATGGAAGTGAAAGAGGAGAGTGAAAAAGTTGGCTTAAAGCTCAACATTCAGAAAACTAAGATCATGGCATCTGGTCCCATCACCTCATGGGAAATAGATGGGGAGACAGTGGAAACAGTGTCAGACTTTATTTTGGGGGGCTCCAAAATCACTGCAGATGGTGATTGCAGCCATGAAATTAAAAGACTCTTACTCCTTGGAAGGAAAGTTATGACCAACCTAGACAGCGTATTAAAAAGCAGAGACATTACTTTGCCAATAAAGGCCCAT